AAGAAGGTTCAGGGGATGGAAGAGCGAAGAGGTTCTCCCTCCAAAACAAAGACTAATTCAAGGGTAATCCCAGCTGGGCCCACTTGGAATCCTGGAATGGTTTGGGTTGGAAGGGACCTGAAAGCACATCCACCAGCCCAGGTTGCTCCAAGCCCCATCCAAACTGGCCTTGGACACTTCCAGGGGTGGGGCAGCCACAATTTCTCTGGGCAACCTGTTGCTTCCCATCTCCTGGTGTTTATAAACACTCCCGGGAATCGTTGCTTTTATCCTCACATCCAGCAACAGGCATTGTTGCAGCAAGGAAAATTCCACTCGTTTGGAATTTGTTCTCTCTGATTCATAGGAGAATTATTCCCCAGGATTTTCCCTTCCTCCCTTCCCCTGCTGTACTTCTTTCTTTGAAGAAATAATTCCCAAGTGCTCCAACACTGGGTTCTGGTTTTTTTGGACAGGCTTCTGCAATCTCCAGGAGATCCCAGGCCCAGGAGGAGGAGGAGGAGGAGGAGGAAGAGGAGGAGGAGGAGGAGGGGGACAGCAATTCCTCTCTGTTCCCTGATAGTGACTCTTTCAGGTATCCCCCAAAGGTTTTAAATCCAAAAAGTCTTGGTTCAGCTCCAACCTCCACATTTCATTTCAGAGCAGGTAAAATGGTGGAGAGATCCCAGAAATCCTGAATATACAAGAAATTCAAAAGATTTTGCCCCAAACTGTAGGTTATCACTAATTATTACATAATTACTGAGCACAGGCTGTCTGGAGGAAATAACTGAGGGGAAAATATGGGATCTACACCTTCCAGGGATTCCCAAACGTTCAGTTCATGTGTCTCAGGTGCGGCTTTAGCAGCTGGATGATCCCTGAGCCCTCCTCAGGTGGGTTTTACTCAGCAGATCCTCCAGCCTGGCTGGATGTTTGCTCCAGGAAACCGAAGTTTGGGTGTTTTTTAGGAATTTAAAATATTTAAAAAACAAACGAAAATCAAACAAAAGAAAATCCCCCTCCTATTCCTGCAAATATTTCCCTTTGCAAGCCTGAGAGGAAGAAAACTTGTGTTACTGAACACTCCTGTGCCTGGTACACAGGAGGAAATCAGGATCATTGAGACCCTCCTCTTTTCAATTTTCCAAGCAGGACAAGGCTGGAAAGGATTTCCAGCAGCTCTTTGCCCACAGTTGCTTTTAATAAAGAATAAAAACTGCAGCTGAACCTTTACCAACACTTCATTTGTAAATTTGACTGCTCTGGAGTTCTCCTTTTCCCGACAAATGATATAAATGTCATTTTAGGGATTGCAAGATCCTTATTTTCCTGGCTTTTCCCTCTCTGTTTAGACCCATAAAGCCAATCCAGGCCTTTGTGCGGGTCAAGCCCACGGCTCATTTTGCCCAAGACATGATCAAGTTTGGGACAGACGACAAGGTAGAGTGAAAGAAATTCCCAGTGGGAAAGGTTTGGAGTTTGCTTTCAGCTTTGCCCATGGAAAAGGCAGGATTTTCCCATCGCTTAAGGCCATGGATAACGTTTTGGGGCGTGTTGGTTCCCGTGCTCCTGCCTGACAGTGGTGTTGACTATGGAAAACACACTTCTGGTGGTACAATCACCAGGAAAACCCTCAGAAGGGCTGGGACTGACTGATCCAGGAGGAATTCCCAGGGGGAACCACAGCTTGGCACAGTATTTCTATCCCCCCTTGTGCAAGTTCCTCCCTTCACCTTCTCGTGCTTAATTCAGAATTTCCCTGAGACACAAAATAATTGAAATTTAAACAGTTGAGCTTAACCACGTTTCTTCTTTATTTAGAATAATTACCCCCAGAATTTCGAGAGTATTACCAGGTATTTTTAGCACTTCCATAACCATCCAAGGGAGTGAAATAATCCTGGTGTTTGTGCTCCCTTTCCTACTTAATTCCAGGTCCCCAATCCCTGGAGCTCCTCACGGCTGTTGAATTGATCTCCCTCTCTTTTTGGGTTGCAGAGCATCAGCATCCACATCGAAAAAGATGCCAGGGGAGGGATTGTGAACAACTCCTCCACTGACTGGTCCTTCAGGATGGATGGGCTCCTCCACAACACCTCCCAGGACAAGGTTTATGAGGCTGTGGCCAGGGACTTGGTGGCTGCAGCTTTACGTGGCTACAATGGTGATTTATTGCTATTTTTGTAATTTTGACAATAAATAGGGGTTTGGTTTGAGGACAGATCCATTGGCTGTTCTGTTTGAGGCTCCCCCCACTGAGTTTATCCTTTTGGTTTGGAATTTTCCAGGCACCATCATGTGTTATGGGCAAACTGGGGCTGGTAAAACTTACACCATGACTGGAGCAACTGAGTACGAGCACCGAGGGATCATCCCCAGAGCTATCCAGCAGGTACTGGATCTGGGAAGAGGGGCTGGATCTGGGAAGAGGGGCTGGGAGGAATACCAGGGCCACCTCTTGTATCTGCTCTCGCTGATATAAAAGTGTTTTAACACAGTGAATGTGATTTATGTCTTTTTTTTCCCCTTCATTTCACCTAAGGGATGAGGGTTAAAGAAATAAAGCAGCTTGGCTGTCATTCACAGAGGTTTAGTTCTACCTGCTCGTGGAAAATTCTTGCTGCTCCCCAAAGGTCACCAAGCCTTCAAAAGGGGTGTTTTCCAAGCTACCATTCTGTGATATCCTGTTAAAACTGATCATAAAACCATTAAGGTTGGAAAATACCTCTAAGGCCCTGGCACAGGTTGCCCAGAGAAGCTGTGGCTGCCCCTGGATCCCTGGATGTGTCCAAGGGCAGGTTGGAGCAACCTGGGCTAGTGGAAGGTGTCCCTGCCCATGGCAGGGGGTGGCACTGGGTGATCTTTAAGGTCCTTTCCAGCCTACAGCATTCCAGGATTCTCTGATTCCAGAAGATCATTGAATCCAAATCCAAGTCAAGCCCTCAGGCAACGACAGCTCAGATTTAACTCCACACCCCTAAATGTACTTGGAGCTGTTCAGAGATATCTCTATATACATATGTCTACATATCTTAGATAAATGTAGAGCTTATATATAGCTTAATATCTTATATCTATTTCTGTCTTATATCTATTTTAATCATATCTATTTTAATCTTATATCTATTTATATCTTACATAAACATCTACATAGAAATATCTTCTCTGGGAAGCCATAAATAGCTAAAAATCCTGTCTGTGAACAGAGACAAACTCTGTGTCATTGTGCAGGTCTTCCAAGCAGCTGAAGAATCCCCTGGCCTCTCCATCACTGTCCTAATTTCCTACCTGGAAGTCTACAACGAGGCCCTGTTTGACCTCCTGGGCCCGGGGCTGGGCCGTGGTTCCAGGAACACCCCCCTGGCTGTCCTGGATTCCCCTCAGGGGGTTTGTGTCAGGGGTCTGTCCATCCATCCTGTCAGCCACGAGAAGGAGGCCCTAAATCTCCTTTCTGAGGCAAGAGAACCCAAACATTCCCTTTATTCTCTGTATTATTTTGTTGGCTGAGGGAGGAGGCAGGAAAGCAGGAGGTGTGTGGCCGGGAGGGTTGATCAGCCAACACTCTTTGTTCTCTTTGTTGTGGGTGGAACATCTTTGCAGCCCTTGTTCTCCCAAGGAAAATGTCCCTGGCACAGGGATTCTGGGAGATGCTCCAAGAAAAGGGTCTTTGGCAGATAGTTTGGGGTGATCATGGTTAGATTTTACAGCAGGACTCTTCACACAATGGGTTGGATTTGTGAGGGGAGTCTGATTGCTGAGATCAGCATCTTTTCCTTGTGGCTCCTTCAGTTCATGAGGAAAACAGGAATAAATGGTTGGATCTGGAAGCAGGAAGTGTGTTCTTACCCAGAGCCATCTGGTGTCCTTAAAACCTTTCTCTGGGCTTTTTAATGACGGGCCCGTGGTGTCCTGAGCTCTGGAATGTGCTGGAAATCCCTTTTTAAAGAGCAGAAGGATGCTGATGAAGGCTGGGATTGCTGGGGTTGTTCACCTGGAGAAGGGAAAGCTGCTCTTCTGTGGGAAACTGAAGGATCCAGGGAGGTGTTCCCTGACTGTTCCTCAAAAAACCACAATCCCATGAGCTGAGCCTTGAATTTTGTCTCCATTTGCAGGGTGGGACCAACAGAGCAATAGCAGAGCACACCCTGAATAAGAATTCCTCCAGATCCCACTGCATCTTTACTATTTATATTGAGGTGAGAGCTCCAGAGATGTTTCAAACAGCTTTTTAGAGATTCAAAGAGGACTTTTGCAGTCTGGGTTTTTTTACTGTGTTTCAGTTCAAGTGCAGTTTATATTCTGTTCTCCCTCAGTGTCATTCCAGAGTTTACAGGAATCTCAAAGGCATTAAATCTAAAATCACCTTGATAGACCTGGCGGGTTCGGAGAGACTGAGTGAGATCCCGGTGAGTGCTGGGAACCCCTCGGATCCCACATGTTTTGGGCCCCTCAGGGCAAGACATGGAGGGGCTGGAGGGTGTCCAGGGAAGGGAAGGGAGCTGGGAAGGGGCTGGAGCAGCAGAAGCAGCTGGGGGAGCTGGGGGGGCTCAGCCTGGAGAAAAGGAGGCTCAGAGGGGACCTTCTGGCTCTGCAAGTCCCTGACAGGAGGGGGGAGCTGAGGGGGGTCAGGCTCTGCTCCCAGGGAAAATTCCTCCTGGAAAGGGCTGTCCAGCCCTGGCAGAGCTGCCCAGGGCAGGGGTGGAGTCTCCATCCCTGGAGGGATTTCAAAGCCCTGTGGATGTGGCATCTGGGGACATGGGCAGTGGTGGCCTTGGCAGTGCTTGGTTGGTCTCGATCTCAGAGGCCTTTTCCACCCTCAGCAATTCCCTGATTCCATAACATTCTGTATTGATCAGAATTTAAATTGCGCCAGCCCCGTGACAAACACATCCTTTGGGAAGGAAATCCAAGTCCTTGTAGACTTGTAATGAAAAATTGAGGTCTCTGAAAGCTTGTTTTCAAACTGGAGAAAGCTCCAGATCATGAATTTGTTGGGTCTGAATCAGCTCCTGACCCTCGGAGGTTTTTTCTCTGCTTTTTCCTGCTGTTTGGCCAGAAACATGTTATGGAAACTTCCCCTTTTGATCTCCCTTGCAGTCTGCAGGACACATCCGGAAAGAGAACTCCTACATCAACAGGTCCCTGACATTCCTTGAGCAAATCATCCTGGCCCTGGCTGATCCCTGGAGGGACCACATTCCCTTCCGGCAGAGCAAACTCACTCACGTCCTCAAGGACTCCCTGGGTAAGGGCTGGGCCTCACAACAGCCCCGAAGGGCTCCTAAAAATGCTGTTACTAGGAGAATATTAAGTCCTAAGGCCATAATTTATCATGGAATGGTTTGGGTTGGAAGGGACATTAAAGCCCATCCAGTGCCACCCCCTGCCATGGGCAGGGACGCCTTCCACTGTCCCAGGTTGCTCCAACCTGGCCTTGGACACTTGGACACTTCCAGGGATATGGAATCCACAGCTTCTCTGGGAACTCTTGGAAATCACAGTTTTTATCCCCATGTTTTCATTGCATTGTCACTCCATGGAAACACACCTGACCTTTGTTTTTAGGTCACTCTGTGCCCTCTGGAGGGACAGTCACACTCTGGCTGTGTCCTTTGGGTGTCTTCAAATCAAAGTGGCTTTAGGTGGAATACTGGGAAGGAATTCCTGACTGGGAGGGTGGGGAGGCCCTGGCACAGGTTGCCCAGAGAAGCTGTGGCTGCCCCTGGATCCCTGGAAGTGTCCAAGGGCAGGTTGGAGCAATCTGGGCTAGTGGAAGGTGTCCCTGCCCATGGCAGGGGGTGGGATGGGATGATCCTTAAGGTCTCTTCCAACCCAACCCATTCTGGAATTTTGTGATTCTTCTGTATTTTAAACAGCACATGATATAATGAATTCCAGAAAAGGAAACAACAACACTCCCCCCAAATTATATTCTTTGCTTTATTTTTATTATTATTTTTTCCCAGGGGGAAACTGCAACACTGTCCTGGTGACCAACATCTGTGGGGAAGCTGCTCATGTGGAAGAGACGGTGAGTTGAAGGGATTCCTGCAGAATCCAAGCCTTGTTCCCGCTGCTCCTTGTTTTAAAGAACAGCCTCTGGAGGGTTCTGGCAGGGAAACATCCTGCCTGATTCATCCCAAACCTTGGAAAGCTCATCTTATCTCGAAGGCTCAGAAAACAGACTCCTGTCAGCTGAGAGCCTGGAGCAGGGCAGCTCACATTTAAGCTCACTGGAGAGTGTTAATTATCATTATTATCCAGCTCTGATGGGTTTCCATGGGACATCACATAATGGGCTCACTGGAATTGCACCAGTTCACAGCAGAGCTGGATCAGGAATCAGGAGGAACCTCCCGACAGGTTGGTTTTTAACCTGTGAAACGATAAAATCAGGGACAATCTCCCTTTGTGAACTGGATGAGCTTAACCACACCTGTAACACACAGGAGGGAATCCCTTGGAGCAGTGACATAGACTTTAAATGGATTAAAACTAAACAGTTAAATAGATTTTATATTTCCATGTCCTTGGATCTGACACGGAGCAGTTAAATAGATTTTTTATGTTTCTGTGTCCTTGTATCTGACTTAATTAAGCAGTAACAGGTTTGGAAAATGATCTCCCTGCCAGTATCTCTTTCAGTTCCTTAAAATCCTTGTTTTCCAGCTGTCTTCCCTGCGCTTTGCCACCAGGATGAGGTGGATCATGGCAGAGCCAGTTGCCAACGTGACGTTCGAGCGGGAGGTACGGAAAGAACGGGAATGGAGGAAGGAATTTTTGCTCAAAGTCATTAATATTTAGGATAACAACCTTAAAAAACAGAGGAGAATTAGGTAGTTCCATAAGTCATCCCTTCTCAGCCAAGCTGACATTGCTAATTTTAGGTGGATGATAAAATGGATTAATATTAAACTTTTTAAATAGGTACCCACTTAGCTGAGAGGGAACAGCCAGGCAGTGACATGTGGAAATTTTTTCAACTGCATGTGAATCTTTTTCTGATAAGGTTCACCTCTCAACAGAGATATTTTATTGTGAATTACTCCCCTGATATGTGGGGAAATCACCCCAGTCCTACCTGCAGCTTTACACGGCGTTATCCCCATTCCTGCTGGTGAAGTAACATCTTTTCCACAATTGGGAAAACTTGGTTGAACAAGGAAATAATTTAAAGAATTATTTAAAGAATAATTTAAGGACAGGGATCACAGGATTTTAGGTGTCCTGAGGGTACTTCCACAGCTGGAGGAGTGGAAAAAACCAAACCAGAGGAGCTGAAATTGGAGTGTTTAAGGAACCTTTGTGCTTTGATGCTCCACAGGTCCCTTCAAAACAGTGTCCAGTTCTCCCTGAATCCCAAGATTTGGGTACTCACACCTTTCTGGAAACACATTTTAAAGAGTGAATCCTTGAAGGTATTGCAGGTTCTGGAGCCATTCAGTCCAACCCAGCCCAGGAGGCTCCCTCCTCTGTCCCAGGGGGGTCAGAGCTGCTCAGTTCTGCTTGGCTTCCCAGATAACATCCCAGAATCCGGAACTTGCTGAGCCCTGCAATGCCAGATCAGGAAATCACACATTAAAAAGCAGGTGGCCCTTCTTTTGATGGCTTAAGGAGACTCTGCAGGACAGAAACTGTCCTGCTGGGAGCTAATCAAGGGCAAAATGTGTTCCAGACCCACCAATTCCCTCTGCAAACCCCGAGGGAGCTGCTATCCAGCTGGGATATTCTCCAGCAGCCAGTTCTGTGCTGCTTTTAGGGGTTTTTTTTCCCCCTCCAATATAATTTAGTGATTTGTTCACCCTTTTTTTCCCTGTTAGGTGTCAGTGAAGGCTCTGGAGGAGGAGATTGATCTCCTGAAGCGCGAACTGACCATGAAGGACATGTTTGTAAGGATCAGTTAACTCAGTGTCCAGTGGGATTGGGTTCTTCCTTCTGCTTCCAACACCATCTTTTGGGGTTTAGGGGAAGCTCTGAAGATCCCACACAGGGAGGTTTTGTTGTAACTTCAATCCTGAGCCACCAGAGATGTTTTTTTAAGGCTCTTGAAGCCCTTCTGTTGCTGGTTGGAATGGGAAGGGGAATGTTTGCTTCCCAAATCCCATCACCTGCCAGGTCAGGTGATGAGAATCCCAATCAGAAATGGGCACAGTAATGTCAGCTGTTTGCCAGACTGGTGGAATTCCGGAGTTCCAGACTGGTTTGGGTTGGAAGGGACCTTAAGGATCATCCGGTGCCACCCCCTGCCATGGGCAGGGACACTTCCCACTAGCCCAGGTTGCTCCAAGTCCCGTCCAGCCTGGCCTGGAACAGTTCCAGCTTCTCTGGACAACCTGTGCCACCCTCTCAGAGAAGAATTCCTTCCTTAAATCCAGTGTGAATCCCCCCCCTTTTAGTTTCAAACCCTCCCCCCTTGTCCCACCCCAGCAGGCCCTGCTGAAAGCTTTGTCCCCATCGTTCTCCTCTCCCCCCACCCGTTTGTAACTCCCTGATCCTCAGTTTTCCACATTTTTTCCTCAGAAAAATCGTTCTGTCGTGACTTACAGCCCCCTGACTGGTGCCCAGAGAGCAGCAATTAAATCCCAAGTCCACAAATACCTCAGAGGAGCCATCGAGGAGATCGATGTAAGTGGCTTTTTGGTGAAAAAGGACTGAAATATTGCTTCCATCCCATTTTCCTCCAGGAAGACACAATGAAAGTGTCTTCTGAAGAGGCTTTTTTTTTCCACCCCAAAGCACTACAGAACTGTAATTTAACTCCTTTTTTGCACGTTAGGGACTGTCTCCGTGTTTTGGAAGATTGAGGACAATTTTCCTCAGTCCTAAAACCCTTTAAATTGGTTTATTTGGAACATCTTTAAAGAATGAATACCAACATTGTTGGATTTATGCCTCTCTTCCTCAGATAGTGAACATCAGGCAAATCCAGGAGGTGTTTAAACAGTTCAAAGCGATTATAAGGTAAGATCATGGAATTCCAGGATGGTTTGGGATGGAAGGACCTTAAAGCTCATCCAGTTCCAGCCCTGCCAGGGGCAGGGACACCTTCCACAGGTTGCTCCAAGCCCCTTCCAGCCTGGATTAAAGGTTAAAATAAGGTGATGGGAATGAGCAGAGTTAATGTGATTTAATCTGGATCACAGTTATGGAAAGTATAAAAATACCCATCAAAAAGCTTCAATATCCAGGAGACCTGAAGGGAAGTCATGGAAAAAGAGAGGAAGAGAGTGGGTAAAGATTATGATGGTTGTGGAAGCGTGGAGGGGGAAGGTGGGGTGTTTGGGGATGAGACCAAGGGGAAAAGGGGGTTTTCTTTGGAAATCTGATGCTGGCAGGATCACAGGTTTTCCCATGTGGAACATGATGCTTCAGGAGCTGTTTTCTCCTCCAGTCAACAGGAGAAAGACATAGAGGCCAAGTTACGGAGCAAATACCTGCTGGGAGACAGGGGGGAGTCCAAGGCTGACGTTGGGTCTGAGGTTGGTGAGGAGGTGGAAGATGAGGAGAAAGAGGACAAGGAGAAGAAGAAGGATAAGGTAATGCCTGGCCCAGAATCCACCTTAGAACTGGCTGCTGTGCTGCAAAAATGGGATTTGCCTCAAGTTCAGCTTTTCCCTGTCAAAATCAAACTGAGAAATGATCGTGGGATGGGTTGGGCAAAAAATGTGTGCAGGGCAGAGGTGCACCAGTTAATGAAGAGGAATTCCTGTCAGCAGAGGATAGGCCCATTATCTGACCTTAATAATCTATTAAATGGGAATTAGAATCCCAGAATGGTCTGGGTTGGAAGGGATCCTAAGGCTCATCCAGTCCCACCCCCTGCCGTGGGCAGGGACACCTTCCACCAGCCCAGGTTGCTCCAAGCCCCGTCCAACCTGGCCTTGGACACTTCCAGGG